TTTGGAACCTCTTCTGTAGGTGTGGCCTGCTTTCCGGGTCCACTGGTGGAACCTCTTCTAATGGGTTCGGTAGATTTGACGAACCGGTTCTACCAAATAGGTGCAAACTGGTAGGAACCCACCTCTGGGTCTGTGACTGTAAACCCTCCCTTGAAAGTCTTTGCTGGATGTGAATGAGCAGAATTCACAGTCAATTACTAAATGGGGTTTTTGTCGGGACAAGGAGTTTGCTTCATGCTCTTGGGAAGCCTCGGTCAGAACAGGCGGACTGCTGAATCTAGTCCCGATGGGCTTGTTCTCCTATGTTGTGCCATGCATTTACAAAGCGGTTATTTCTAAGAGCTGAGGTCCACAAGTCTTAAAAGTTCTCAAAGTTGGAGAGCCCTGCTCTAAAGGCTACATTTAAACAGGTGCTCCTGATACTGAAAAGGGGGAACATTTGCCTACATGTGGAAGGAGAAAAAAGCCACTGTTACACATTGCTCAACGCTGGCTTCCTTACCTCCTGCTGAATTGGCAGAAGTCTTATACTTTTTAATCTGAAAACGCTTGATGGCTACCGGCTTCCCTTGATACTGTGCCCGGTAGATAACTGTCCCACTTCCTCCTTGGCCGAGGATACTGTTTTCATTTTCGACGTATTCCAGTTTGCTATTTTCCAAGAATAATCTGCCAAGCATACCGAATGAAGCAGAGAGAGAAATGGGATTATTAAGCAATTTCGGTCAATGCAAGCCAAGATTTAGCATCCCCCATTTCTCCTCTTCCTAATCTCCCAGAACAGACAATGCCCACTTCCCTGGCCAAGATGAATCTTTATTTTTCTTCCAGCCATCTGCTGTCTAGAAGATAATCAAGAAGAGAACACATTTTTTAATTACTGTCTTTGATAGACAGGCTGTTTTATTGGCAGTAGCTAATGTGGTTTGGGTTTTTTTTAACAAAATGTTTTCATTTTAATGGGTTGTTTATATTTTTTATATTTTTTAATGGGTAGCATCACTTCAAAAGACAGGTATGGGAGACTCAGGTAAGACAGGTGGCCCATAAATTTATGAAACAAACAAATAAAATAAATAAGAAAACCAAAGAGACATTTTTTGACATGTGCAAGAGGATGCTTATGAATGACAGTTTTCCCACCAGCTTTTCCTGGGATAGCATGTCTGTTTACAAAAAAGATGCACATTTTTTTTCCACGCTGAGCTTCAAACTTGGACTTTGCAAAGTGTGAAAAAGATACTTTCCCCTCTAAAACGGGGCTAGGATGGAAATAACATAAGATTTGATTGCATTTCAATTTAGATGAGATTAAAAGCATTGCTCGCTTTGTGTGGTTAACATTTTCATCCAGCAGCTGGTAGTTAACCTGGGCGGATGCCCCCCAAAATTAAGCAGGGTTAGATGTGACTAGGACTAGGATAGGAGACCACAAGGAAATCCCAGTTTGTCAGCTAAACTCTGAAATTAAAAAAATCCCTGAAAAAAATGAAAGCCAATTCTGAACTGCCAACAAAAGAGATACTGTAATTGCTGTCAGCAGTAGTCAAGGTTTTGTTTTTTTTACTTACTTTCTATCATCCTAAAAACTGCAATTTTTATAACAATTTCAGGTGATCATCTACCACTTGGATAGGTGGGACAGCTGTGACCAAGGTCCCTTTTAACTAGGCCAACTAAGTTAACTATAATTAGGTCAACTCGATACCACTCAATGTATTAACAGAATAACAGAGTTGGAAGGGACCTTGGAGGTCTTCCAGTCCAACCCCCTGCTCAGGCACGAGGCCCTATATCCAGGGGTGAAATCAATTTACCTTTGCTACTGGTTCGCAAATGTGAGCGCACCTCAGCGCATGCACAGAACCTTCCGTACATGCGCAGAGCGTCAAAAACGGGATGTGATGATGTCCGGATGAGTGGGCGGAGCCTCCCACGGCTGCCCCTACCGGCCCACCAGAAGTGGATAGAACCGGCTGAATTGCACCACTGCCTATATCATTCAAGACAAATGGCTATCTAGTTTCTTCTTGAAAACCTCCAGTGATGGAGCACCTATAACATCTGGAGTTTCCACTGATTAATTGTTCCAACTGTATAGAAAATGCAAGTCCCCAAATTCTACTGGTGGAAATTCTGGAAGTTGAATTTCTTAGCATACCTGAAGAGGACCAGGCTGGAAAAGCTTGCTGAGATAGACCACAGTAGGCAGAAATGTAAGGAATTTGCTGCAAACATGACTTTAATGTATATTCTTATGCACAGTAGGGGATATTTGGGGGGGGGGATGTAAGAAACCTCAAGAAAAAAAACTCAAAAGCCATAATTTTGGGAAAAAGAATGAAAATTCCTTCTTACCTGGCTGGAAAGTCCGTCATGAAAAGTTCAGGGACCAGCTCCTGTAAAGGGACAGGTAGATCTGGGTGCTGGGCACAGGTGATGTGGTCTTGTTCAATAGCTGTGAGAAAACAGTCTTCCATATTGAAGTACTGTCCATCTTCTTTTTTGGGGTTGTCCTCTCCATCCTGGGCCTTTGTGGTTGAACAGATGGGGCAAGGTACATATTGCTCCATCAGTAGACTCCCGTCACTCTCGGTGGCAGTGAGGGCTGGAGAAATATAGTTTCATTTATTTATATCTCAAACTTCAGAGCCATCCATCTCCCTCCCAGGGGGGACACAAACATTCACACTGGAGATATCTCTTTCAATTCTGTCCCAGAACTGGGCAATGAGGTGAAAAATGAGCAGGACACAATAGGCACATGTATCAATCATGCTCATGGAACAGTTCTCTGAATAGACTTTCCACAATTAATTGAAAAAATATAACTCATGGATAATTGAAGGCCATAGAACTCCCAGGGACTGCCCAGAGCATTATTTGATGGATATCAAATAAGAGCCATAGTGATTAGAGTGCAGTACTGCAAGCTACTTCTGCTGATCACCAGCTGCCAACAGTTTGGCAGTTCAAATCTCACCAGGCTCAAGGTGGACTCNAGAGAATAGATGGGGGTGGAGCCAGTCAGAGGTGTTATTTACAGGTTCTCCGAATTACTCAAAATTTCCACTACTCGTTGTCCAGAACTGGTCAGAACCTGCTGAATACCACCTGTGCTTCAGATCATCTTCGTCACTTTCCTTCAGATATTCTCCCAATGCCTTTCCCCCCTTCTTTAACTGTCTGGTGTACTTACAGTATTCCAGTCCACCTATTTTCCTTGGTAAGTATAGTCTGTCCACATGGCTGCAGGGAGGAAGGGCATGGTTCATTCTCTTTCTGGACTTTAGGACCTTTTTTACTCAAAATGTCTTCACTTCTATTCTCCTTGATTACAACGTGTTTAATGTTGTCAGCTTGAAGCATGCCCAAATATTTGTGATCATCTTCATTCAGCTTTTTGATGATATTTTGATGATGAGGTGTCTTGGTTCTTTAGCGTTAGACACTCTTCATCTGGTTTCCCTGATGAGACCTGTCCAGTATGGTTGAACTTCTGGTGTAGCTGTCATCCTCCTTGAATCATGCATTCACAGTAGATGTGATATTCTACCAGTTGGGACTGGTTCGCCCAAATCAGTAGCAGAAATTGCAGTGGCGCCTCTCACCAATCACGGCTCTATGGCCTCCCATTTACGCCCCTTTTTTGCTAAAAGCACATGTACGGACAGCTGAGCCAGTAGGAAAGGTAAGTAAATACCATCCCACAGCCACATCAAAGTAGTGCCTTGCTGTAGACCAATTATGGTTTATCACACAGCCAGCCAGATGATTAGACTGGATCATCATTTTTATCCACCCATTATTATTTTGTATGAAGAAACAGAGAGGGATCAGAAGATTGAATGAATAGATGGAGAATAATTCCTTCCCAACAAGAATATTTGACATAACTTAAATCAGCTTACATGGAATCAGGTTCCCTTATACCCTTGGATGCTTATAAATGGAGGCATTTTTCATTAACAGTTTCCACTATAGATATGGAGGACATGGAATAAGTTCACTGACAGATCTTTGTCATATATACAATTAAGAATATGTGAAAAGCTAGGGGCAAGTAGAAATAATCGTACAAGTCTTGCAGCTACTGAAGTACTTTAGATTGGTTCACGGACAAAAGGGTGAACGACAAAACCGCACCCGACTAAACCGCGTCNACTAGTAACCAATGCCAAATCCGGCGAAACAACTGGCCGCTGTGATACAATTGAATAATAATAATAATAATTTTGGAGTCAATTCACTGAATGTTAAGGTAATATATAAACGTACAAAGATTATATTAGATTTACAATGGGAAAAATGCCAGATTTAAGAGACCTAATCTGAAGTTCTTCTCCATAAACGTATCATTATCAGTCTGTCTGGGAAGAATACCTAGATGTAGGATGGAATCAAATGCCATAAACATACCATTGCCCAGTTAGAAAAATAAGAACAATTATAGATCAGTAAAAAGCTTGATTTTAAGGTTCTCTCAGTTTTTTCCAGTAAGACCTTATGTCCTTCTAAAATATTGATATGCATACATGTACTGTACACAGATAAACACACCCTGAAAACCAATAAAATAACATTTCAAAGTTCAGCACAATTGTTTCTGAGGTGTATAATTAATATTTTCAGGATGAGCAGACTAAGACAACTATGGTGGCTGAACAATTTGTATCATAGTGTGACCTTGAGAGATTAATGGACAATGGAAACTAAGAAGATAGCAAAGCAAGGGGGTATAAGATATCTCTCTCTTTGTATAAAGAAAAATCTTAGCTAAAATGTCTTGGTCTTTTAAATATTTTGCTCTTGTCAACTACTTTCCCATTCTCTTTCTTCATCCCTCTCTCTTGTCTGTGATTACTGAACTTTTGAGTTAGGATCTCTTATGAGTACAATGAATATTCTACGTATCAGAAACAGACAACTCACTCCAGGAAGAGAAAATAGGTATTTCCTTTAACTTCCTATATTTCCCATGATATTTTTTTCCCTTTTATTCCAGAGAGGAAAAAAGCCTCAGTACTCTCAGTATGGACAGCATCGTACAACCACTATTTATTTTAGTTCATTGTGATCATTAAAAAATATGTTTCCAAAATGCAAAAAGGGAAAAAGAAAAAAAAAGAATCCTAATGGTCAATATGTTAATCCGTGCATCGTGCCCTTTCCAACTGCTTTTTATCAAAAGAGGAATCTTTCAGTTAAGGCTTTGCTGAATCCTCTTTTCTTCCTATCTAGCTAATGTAGATTTCTGTTTTAACTTTACTTGCAAAGGAAATGCCTGCCCAGATCATTGAAGCAGAATTTCCAGAAGGAGACAGTAGAACAATACAGTAGGTTATCTTTTCACTCAGATTGGGGTGAAAATAACTGGTCTAGGAAGAGTTGATAAGGTTGAAGCAACTCAAACCCTGAGGCTTCTACTCCTGTTTATTACAATTAGCACAAAGCTTTGAATGCAAGAAAGCTTCACTCAAAACAACCTTCAAAGTGGGCTCAAGTTCAGCAAATCAATCTAGGTAGCTTCAAAGTATTTTTTTATTTTATTTCATCAAGCATGTATATATAAGTATAAACAATATTTTGGATACATGAAATGGATACGAATAAAAAGAAACATTAGGACAGGGATGGTAGGCATGTTGGTGCGCTTAAGCACGGCCCTTACAGACCTCTTAGGAATGGGGGGAGGTCGACAGTAGACAGTCTAAGGTTAAAGTTTTGGTCTTTTGGGGAAGAAACAGCAGAGTCAGGTAGTGCATTCCAGGCATTGACCACTTTGTTGCAGAAGTCGTATTTTCTGCAGTCGAGTTTGGAGTAGTTTACCTTAAGTTTGTATCTATTGTGTATTCACAAATTGTTGTGGTTAAAGTACCAAAATTTTAAGACTGGTGGCATAAGGTATTCATTTCATAAGCTTTTCAAAGCACTTCACAGATTTGATGGTTTTCTCACACTTTTAATATTCAATACCAAGTTTTGCAGGTTTGGTGTCATACATGAAGAATACTGAGGGAATGTTGAACAAACAATGAGTTTTATCATCTCTTTAAAATCTCTGCTTAGCTGTGGCCCATTGGGGCAACCAAAAGCATATAGTGTTGTGGGCTTCACTTGCTTTTGGGTCTGTCAACTTCTTTGTTATGACCAGTGATGAGCTCTAACTTTGTTCTTTTGATTGTACATGAAATCATATAATTCTGTGCTGGTTTTGGCAGCACAAGATTTTACTTTTACTTTTTATGCTTCCACACTATCTATTTGCAATGAGTAAGTAATTCCTACTGGTGCTGTTGGATTAATTTTCCCCAGTAAGAAAAGCAGAAGAACGAAGAAACTGCAGTGGGGAACATGAACACACACACACACAAACACAAATTGGATGGTCAATAAATTTAAATAAATAAGCCACCACCAGCAGCAGCATCTAACATCTTGCCTGGTAATGGAGTAACATCTTCAGCTAATTAGCAGATGAAAGATAATAGAAGAGAATATATATATAACTGGACTTTGCAGTTAGAGTGGAGGGTGGAGTTAAGAGACGTGCTAGTTTGGAAACCTGCAGAGGAAGAAACAACAGGGACCTGACCCCACTTAATATCCCTGGAGTGGAGTCCTTATTTGGTTATTCCTCAAAAAATGGAGTCATTCTGGAGAAATTTGTGTACCAAGATAAACAGCAGTAAAGAAAGTTCTCTGATCAGCTCACAGTGTTGTTCTAGTTCCTGGTGCCTGACAGTAGTTCAGATTTGAACTGCAAAGTTCTTGGTGCTCTCTGAGCTTGGTTGTTTGATTGTAAATATTTCATTACCCAATTAGGTAACATCATTAGTACTAATAAGTGTGGGGTTTGCTCCCTATTCATGTACAGTAGCTTGTCCTGTCAGTGTTGTCACAGTGCTGCTGGTAACTGGTCTGGCAGGTCAACCCACTTTATATACAGGGAAAGCTACCATACAGAGCAAACTACTATATACAAATGGGCAGCAAATCCACCCCGGCCCCCACAATTCCACTTATGCAAACAAGCAACCAAGCTCAGAGAACAGCAATGTTCTTGAACAGATTATAATAGCTGTAGATCCTCTTGAATTTGACGATTCCTAGTACTAACTGATAAATAAACATTGTGATTACCACACTACCAAATCAAAAGGTTTATGGCTCAATTTAAGGCAGATTTCTAAAATCCGAATCTCCAATTATCTTGAATGCTATTTCCCTTCAGCCTCAGCCAGCATGACCAAATTGCTCAGACCTTATCAGAGTTGTACATCTAATGGATATATTAGAAATAAAGAAATAACCACTTATAATATTAAAGAGCCTCTTCTTCTACATACACAACTGTAAGTATCTAAAATTCATTTCTATCACACCGCAGCAGCTGTACAGGTGCAGATGACTTTGCAAAGTTCAAGTACAAAATAAGCAACAATTAGTTTATCTTTCTAAGGCACCATTCCCCCCCCTCCCCAGTCAAATATATTATTCTCTAAATGCAATCAGCACCTCTAAAATAATTATGCCAGACGTGATAAAAAATTACAGAGGGTGGCAATTTAGAAAGATAGTGAAATAAAGGATTATAATTATAGTTAACAATTATGTATAATGATATGCAGGCTATTACTTTAATACTCATCTGCGTCATTCTGTAAATGGGCTGCTGGACCTTTGCAACCTCTGGGACAGATGGAATTTCAGCTTCGATGAGCCCTTTGAGGAACACTAGGGAAATATGTCTGTAAATAAAAGACCATTTATTTTGGCAAAAAGGTTTCTTCTTATGCTCAAATGAAGTGCTATGGCTGACTCTCCTTGAGAATATGACATAACAGAATGGATAATTTGTCTGTTCTGAAAGGTGACTTTTGAAACACTAACTTAAACAGAGAGAGAATTGCTGAGGGGATGAGGAAACTTAACAAGGCATGGGAGGCAAATGAAGCTCAGTCTATCTACTCCATGCTGTTTGTTAGCAAAAGTGAATATTTCACCTTTCCTGTCTGAATTTTTTTTGCAAAATTACATTGAAGGATTTATGGATGCAATCTCTCTCTCTCTCTCTCTCTCTCTCTCTCTCTCTCTCTCTCTCTCTCTCTCTCTCTCTCTCT